CTCTGGAGTGAGGAGTGCGCAGCTGGTATCAGAGCCGAGAGGGCAAGGGAGGGCAGCGCGTATGGCCTCGGCAGGCGCGCGGCGACTCCCGGCCGCGACGCGCGCGGCGGCCAGGGGCTGCAGCGGCCTCTCGCTGCGCCCGGCCCCGCCCCTGGTCCCTCCGCGACCGCCGGGACCAATGAGGTGAGAGGGAGATGCGGGCGTCGGGGCTGGAGCTAAAGGGGTCGCCCAGGACCCCGAAGTGGCAGCTCTGGGTGCAGGCACGGCGGGAGGGCGGCTGCGGTCATACCTTGGGGTCTAATGTAGAGCTTTAGGGAATGCTTTTGCAAGTTATTCGCGAGGCAAAGTCCTCGAGGTGGGTGCCCAACCACTTCTTGCCCCTCGCGGGTGCCCTGGCAACAGCGGGCTTGGCGGAGTCCCGGGGACTGTGATGCTTCCTGAGAGTCCTCGCTTTCAGCAGTAGGGTAGCAGCCTCCAGTCAAAGGCACCTGGCACATCACATGCATCCCGCTTTTCCCCAACTCCTCCCCCGGCACTGTCCTCCGCCGCCCTCGACCTTTCGCACTCGTGACTGCCTGGCCAAGGGAGCCTGGCCGGCTGCAGCAGGTGCTAGGCGAAAAGCTTGTTTGGACGACCTTCCTCTGGGATGCGCCCCTCTTCCCCTTCACCTGGGAATGGTTGAGGAACACAAGGAAAGAATCGTAACGTGTCTCTCCTTTCCTTTTGGCCTTAGATTTCTGATCTCCTGCAGCCTCTTCTTGCCCCGGGCTGCCCAGGTCTTGGCGGCTGAGGCTGGCTTACCTCCCAGCCGTTCCTTCATGGGCTTTGCTGCCCCCTTCACCAACAAGCGAAAGGCTTACTCCGAGCGTAGGATCATGGGGTGAGCATCCCCTCCTGTCCAGCAGCCCTCCACATTCACTTTCTCGCCAAACAAAAAGCATGTACAGGCTGGAACGTAAGGGTAGCCATAGTGGGCAAGATTCATCCCTGGCCATCCCATGCTTCCCAGCTATATTAGTGATCCTTTATCCTCCTCTGCCAGCCTTCCAACCTTAATTCCCCCCTTCCTGGTTGCTGTGCATGTGCATTGTGAAACGTGACTAGAGTTGGACAATAACATAAGACAACAGGATATTATTTCTCTGCTGACCTGACTTTAGGTACTCTGAGCACAATATGAGTTAACACTTTACTGAGCACTTACTACTGCTAGCAGTTAGGCTGCTTAGGTGTTTTACCATAGATTTTCTCATTTGATCCTTTCAACAAACGTATGAATCAATTACTATTACCTATGATTCACAGAGGAGATACGGAGACAGTAATAATTTACCTAGGGCCACACAGTCATAGAGCTGGGATTTGAGTCCTTTTGTGAATCATCAGTAAAATCGACCTCTGTTCTCCCTAGATGGTCTTAGCATCAAAATAGTAAATGCAAAAGCACTCTGTAAACTGCAAAACTTAAGGTAACACTAACATCATGGAGATTTTCACATTTGCTTTTGCAAAGTCATTTATCCAGGCTTATTTGGCATCTCTAGCTCCTGAAGGTGCATGATTAGTGGGCATGGCGGGAGGGTGCCTAGGGCAAGGAGGAACGTCACCCATCTGGCAGTTCCTTGGCCTCTCTGATTCCTTCCCCTAGGTACTCAATGCAGGAGATGTACGAGGTGGTAGCCAATGTCCAGGAGTATCGTGAGTTTGTGCCCTGGTGTAAGAAGTCTTTGGTGGTATACAGCCGCAAAGGTCACCTGAAGGCCCAGTTGGAGGTTGGCTTCCCGCCTGTTATGGAACGTTATACTTCTGCTGTTTCCATGGTCAAACCTCACATGGTCAAGGTGAGGCCTGTCTGGGAGGGATTGATCAGGAAGTTTTTTGTGTTCTCTGGCATTTTTACGTTTAAAGGCTATTGTGGCTTTCCTTGTGATGATTTTTTATCTCCGTGTGCCAAATATTTCCCTAATAAAATATTGGGAGAGGAAAATGGCTTTCAATTCCTTCTTATAGCCTCCTATACCTGATACAGGTTTAATCCCATCATAACATTGTTTAACTACCTGATTGTCCTATTCTAGGCTGTTTGCACCGACGGCAAGCTCTTCAACCACTTAGAGACCATTTGGCGGTTCAGTCCTGGTATTCCTGCCTATCCCCGAACTTGCACTGTGGACTTCTGGGTGAGTCAGGAGGCTGTATAGCACAGGGCTACAACTGGGTTGTGGGGGGCTGAGCTGAGGTACTGTGACAGTTATTTCACAAGTCAATGACACTCTTCACAGGTCTGAGCTTGTATCAAACTTGTACTTTATACTCAGTCCCAGGGCCTTTGAGGGGATCTAATGAACTGGAGCGGGAGGAAAAGGCACTGAACAGTATCCTTGCATTTGGCCAGGGACTATCCAACATGGTCTTGAAGAGTTTCTGTTTCTTACCCATTCCCAGATTTCCTTTGAATTTCGTTCTCTGCTGCACTCCCAGCTGGCCACCATGTTTTTTGATGAGGTTGTCAAACGGAATGTCACTGCCTTCGAGCGCCGGGCAGCAACCAAGTTTGGTCCAGAAACAGCCATCCCCCGTGAACTGATGTTCCATGAGGTGCACCAAACTTGAGGCAAAGGATTGTTCCCTAGCCTCACCTCTCCTCTCCCTCCTCACCCAATTCTCTTATTTATTTCATTTAGCTCCTGCTCCAATCTGAGAGAAGAGTCTATGTTCGTAATACTGTTCTCCCACTCAAATTGGGCTCTAAGCTGGCTGGAAATGCTGGGGGAAAGAAAAGGCAGGGAAGTATGGAAAGGAGACATGCTTAGGAAAGGGTCAGGCTCATCTTGAGAGCCCACATTCCTGATGCCTGCAACCTTCTCACACTGAATTATAATCAGGACTGTATGGTTGTCTCTGAGCTCTCGTCAAGGTGCCTTAGTGTCTGACCAGGGGAAGACAGCAACTTTTCTTAGGACTGAATAAACTGAATTCCTTTCTCTGACACAGAGCTGCTAGGTAGTCAGTAACTTTGCCTGCTCTTGGGGAAGGGGCAGGATAAGAACCCTGATAAATAAAGGGATATTTGCTTGTGGCAGGGGATGAGGAGGGAGGTTTACTATTTTTAATGCCCTCAACCCCTCAGGAGATGCCTGAGATCTGGCCCCAGCTTGAAATCTGTATGACCTCACTTTAAGAATAGTTCCATGCTGCCTGGCTAGTGAGAGCAAGGGGCTTTCTCCCCATCATTGCCACAGGGGGAAAGGAGCAAAAGAGCACTGAACAGTTATACTCTTGGGTTGTACCTTATTCTTCCACTTGGCCTGAGTTTTCATAAAATTTCAATAAATTAATTGTGACAGTATGAATTTGGCTTTTATATATTGCTTCTCAGGGGAATAATGTAGATATAGTAGAGTAGTAGAAAGTCATAGCTTCCTTCCCTAGGGGAGTGAAGGTGCAAGAAGTCCTCTTGGACACAGTGTCCCTGCTAACTATAGTAGCACATTCTACAAGCCAGGACCTAGTACCCACTCCCTTGCCTATTTATAGACTTTTTCAGAAGGTCAGTTGCAGCAGGAGTCTCAGGACAGAGTAATCTGGTCTCAGACCTCCCATATAACTGATGCCCTCCAGACCACCTCTTATTCTGGGGGATCCTTAAGGGAAGGTGGAAAGAACTGGCATTTCATGAAGTACCAGAGCCCTCTAGAGGCTCAGATCCTGAGTCAGCAGTCCTACCTTAACTGCCCTTGGTATAGTTTGTTCCTTTCACCCAATGGGCTGGACCAGCTTCCTTGGATTAGTCACATAAGCAGTTGTGAGGTCTCAGCTACAGTCCTTGAGTGTTCTACCTTACGACAAATTTAGGAAGGACAGGGGCTAAAGATCAAAGACTTCTAACCATGAAGACAGACGGCAATCTCCTTTGGAAATCTCATAGGGAACCTGTCTTCTGATTAGGGTAAATGAATGCCAAACCTACCTCAAGATAAAAAAGATGCACAGGATAACATAACCCACCAAGTCCAGAATCTTGCTAGCCAGAATCCTTACCTCATAATAGAGATTCTCCCAGGCCTTATTTAATAGGCTCAAGCATTGTTAATAAAAACATTTATTTTGCATTTTATACAGAACAACCTGAAGTCTGCATCATGACTTGACAGTTACCCAGGGGTTTACAGACAGTATTATCCATCTCAACAGCGTGGTTCTGGGGATTTGGGATCCACACAAACACAGGCAGGAGTTGCGAGGGAGGAAGGGGGCACAGCAGGAGTGTATTTTTAATCCTTTCTTGAAAAGAAAAGGCAGTAGAGCATTCTGAGTCACTGGAAACCTGTGCATATGGGGCTTCTAAAACAAACACTGTACTGTGAGCTCTTGGGGAAGGGGCAGGATAAGAACCCTGATAAATAAAAGGATATTTGCTTGTGGCAGGGGATGAGGAGGGAGGTTTACTATTTTTAATGCCCTCAGCCCCAGTACCTCATATTCAAAGGAGACCATGTCCATTCTCATTTCCCTGTTCAAAAAGAGGTGCTAGTACCCCCAGGATCAGGCCATGAAGATATCATGCTGGTAATTCCCAAGTCCCTGTTCTACAGCCCATAGCATATTAAAGGGGAAAGAAAAACGGTCAGAGGGTAGTGGCTTGTGTTCCAGGGAAGTAAAAAGCTTAGTTCATGTTAAGCACTGATAAAGCCAAATAATGGGAAAGATCACAATATCATACAGTGCTGTATACAACCTGCTGAAAGAGGTCTCTAGTAGGGACCAAGAGGGGAGGGTCCAGAGCAACCTTGGCTTGAGGTGCAGCAGGTATAGAAAATCTGGAAAGAGGTGAGTATTCAAGTAATAGGGAATAGAACACTCCCAGATCTTAATTTTAATGGGATAATTTAAAAAAGAGAAATAAAAATCAAACACTGGGTGCCAGTCACAACAAATACCATGGCCTTTATGATCACCTGGTATCATTAAAAACAAACAAAAAAAAGCCAAAGCATAACCAATCGGTCTTGCTAGGAAGTGTCTGTGTGCATGGGAGAGGTTAATGGGGCTTGGTACAGGTGACAATCCAACATGATTCCTATGGAAACAGAAGGGGCAGGGTCCTGGTTTGCTGGCCTATTAAGGGGTGGGCAGAGTAGAACCAAAAGCTCTGCTGAAGTGACTGCAGATTCTCTGCAACCAGCTTTGACCTAGGGAAAG